GAAGAAGAGCTGCTGTGCTGTAGCATCAAATTTTTGGCATGTCTAGAACAGCGGTTCTCAATTTCAGTCATCGCGTACGCCCACTCTGCACATTTTGTATGTTTCTCTTATTGCTTCACAAATCAAGACTTTGTAAAAGAGCATAATAGGACCCCTTTAAAGCATGTCCCACTTTCTCACGAAACATTAACCATTTTGTAGCATTTTTGCTTTTGACAAACATTTGCAAGGTGAAGTTTTGTTTGATCTATTATTCGCTAAAACTGCCATAAAGACACGATTTCTGACAAGAGTCAGGTTACAACTATTTGTTCAATTCTCAGCCCATTTTCACACGTATGAATGATTGAAGGTCAGAATTATAGCCAGTGATGGAAGAAAATGCTAACATGATCCAGATGTTTTCTGCTGTATGTATCTGTGGTTGTTTTACTACATCCAAAAAGAGAGAGAAAATTACAGATTTTGTGAAAAAGTATATTTGTAAACTTGTGTTTAGGTAAAGTTCTTTGTCACTAAATGAAGCAATTTTTTTAATTTAATCATATTTTTTGTCATTAAAACATTTTTGTAAAAAATGTTCATAATTGATTAATTATTTTCATAATTGTATTAAAGCTGATGTATATAAATTGAAAAGTTGTCATTATAATTCTGTGAAAAATTGTACATGATGGAAAGTTTTTTTTTTTTTTTTTTAATTCAGCACCATCAAATTAGGTATTATTAGGTCAAAATTAGGTTTGTAAATCAGCAAAAACAAAAAAAACAATGTCAAGATGCAGGACTGTGTAACAGATTGATTTATTATTAATTATTATTATTAGGAGAAAATCATGGAATAAATACATTTTTTTAATTAATAAAAAAAGACTACCTCCAGCAGAAAACACATTTGTTGGCACAGGCCAGGCTCGGTGTGGTCTCCATACAGCGGTGTGATTCAATCCCATAGAAGGTGTGTTTATAGCAGCCTCCTCTCCCTCTCAGCATTGACTAACAAAAGAAAGGCAGCATTTGTTTCATTTATACAAAGACAAAACTGTTCCTGTCAGGAAACATTGTGCTGCTGTAAAAAAAAAAAAACTTGCTAAAGAGCCTTGACAACAAGATCAATTGGAGGAAACAACCTACCTTGGTCCAACGACACAGTTTTACCCCAGAGTGACTTCCTATTAGTTTGTACCCTACAGACCAGAAAGAAAAAAAGAAATGAAGATAGAAACAAGGCATTTATGTAGAGATTAGCAAGTTTTCAGAGTAGTGATCAAGCTACATAACCTCAAATGCTAAAATGCTGGTTAACATTTTAAATGGCAGCAGCTACCGGATTGGTCACCAACATGTTTGAGTTTACAGGTGGAAAATTTCACTAATATGGTTTGCCTATTGTCAGAAAAAAGTTAATCATTTTATAGCTTTAAATTAATTTTTTTGTACATTTTTTTTTACATTATGTTTTATTATTTTCATGTCATGGTCGAAAACAGATAAAGGACCAATAATGTGAATCTATAGTACTGAAGCAAATAGTTTATATGCAACAAATAAATTCAGGCATCACAGTGTTATAATGTACAGTAAGAAATTTAGATAATATCCAGGATCATGTGACACTGAAGACTGGAGTAATAATGCTGAAAATTCAGCTTTGCATCACAGGAATAAATTATATTATATATATTAAAATAGAAACCAGTTATTTTAAATTGCAATAATATTTCACAATATTACTGTTTTTACTGTATTGGTGAGCAGAAGAGACTTTAAAAAACATTTAAAAAATAAAATACAAATCTTACGAACCCCAAACGTTTAAATTTTTAAAAATGTATGTTCCTTTAAAACATCAACAATATTTTCAAACACAAAATGTGTATACATTCAAACAATGTGAAATGCAAGAATTATTATTTTTTGTGCATAATTTGTACTATGTGACCATTAGAGCATTACTCCAAAACCCTTACCAAGCTGCAACCTAAACACTCCACAAATCATTATCTTATTAGTCACAACCAAGAGCACATTAATATGACCAATCATCATAACAGACGTCACTTACATAAAGGGCACAGTACAATAGCTTAAAAACAGCTGTATTTAACACATTTAGTGTCAGAGAGAGTATAGAAGGTGATGTACTGTACTTTAATGAAATAAAGAGCCTGAAAAATAAAAAAAAGGTGCATTTATAATGTACACAACATACTAGCACATAGACAGGCCTATATTTTCCATTTTACAGTCTGCTCGGGATCTTTAACATCCAGCAGGAGAAATGAAGGAAATTTTCCTACAAAGCTCCTCAATACATCTAAGCAGGCTGGAAGGCCAAAAATGCTCAAGTCTGAGCATTTCCTGTTAAGCACTTGAAGTTTGCACATTTCTAAGGTCCACAGCCTCGTTCTCCCACAACAGCGCTGCGTCCCCTTTGGGGAATCCGACTCAATTTAGACTTTAATCCATGTGTAAGGGCCATCACAGGGGCAGCCATCACTCCTATGACAGTCTTCATAAAACCACAGAATATAAAAGCATAGCTCTGTGCTGAAAGGGCTGGCAGAGTTCACGTCACAGCTAAACAAGACTTTCACACAAGAACTAGTTTTGTCCTTTTTGAGGGGTTTATAAATCTCCATCCACCTTTGTCGTATGGACAAAAACAGTTTGTGTTTAATGAAAGAAAAAAAAACTGGCTTGGGGGTTAGTAAACGATGTCAATTTTCATTTTTGGTGAATTATTCCTCTTTTTCTCTTCCAGAATTTCTCTGTAAGCGGTAAGAAAAGCAGTAGGAGTGAAGCTCCATACTAATGATCCCAATCTAGAGTCTCTCTCCCCTGTTCATTAGCTAAACTCCACATCAAACACATGTTCTTGACTTTTATGTCTGCAAACAGCTCGCTGGGGCTGAGGAGGCAGGGAGGTGTTCTCTCGTCTCTGTCTGAAGAACAGCATCTGTTTGGACAGAGCCGGGTTCAGAGAGCAGGTCTGGTTTAAGCTGTGTAAAGGCTCAATATTTGGGCAGCAGAGACCCGAGACAGAGGATTCCCTGCGGTGGTTCATTCTGAATGTACATGTCAGTAAACTTTAAAAAACTCTGAGCGGTTACGGCCAGGCGATATACAGTTGTGGTCAAAATTTTACATACACTTTGCAGTATCTGCAAAATGTTAATTATTTTACAAAAATAAGAGGGATCATACAAAATGCATGTTATTTTTTTATTTAGTACTGACCTGAATAAGATATTTCACATAAAATACATATAGCCAACGAGAGAAAATAACAGTTGAATTTATAAAAATGACTCAAAAGTTTACATACGCTTGATTCTTAATACTGTTGTTACCTGGATGATCCACAGCTGTTTGTTTTGTTTTGTGATAGTTGCTCATGAGCCCCTTGTTTGTCCTGAACAGTTAAACTGCCTGCTGTTTTTCAGAAAAATCCTTCAGATCCCACAAATTCTTGGTTTTCCAGTATCTTTTACGTATTTGAACCCTTCCCAGCAATGACTGTATGATTTTGCAAAGCAAAATGAGCTGATGAGGAACAGCACCAAAACAGAACTTCACAAGATAAGTGGCACACTGCTATGGGATGACTTTAGTTTCATTACTTCAGGTTTTCATTTCAAGCTGTTATTTATGATATAAGGTAGGTGACTGAAGAGGAATTTCAAGGCTTAATAAAACTTCCCCCAGACTCAATCTACTCCGACCAAACAACATTTGCCCACTTTTTCTGCTCTAGCTGCTGTATTTCCTCTGCTGTTATTTAAAGGAAGTGACTTCTTTTAGAGGTCTTCAGCTCTTTCCTTCATTCATCCTTAAATCATTGCTAATAATGCCGGAGGGAATCATTTTAGATTATCATTAAAAGAGCAAAAATAACAGCGAGTGAGAGGAGGTTACCAGTCGGCCCTTCAGGAAATGAGTGTTATATAATCTCACATCAGAATCTTCTCTAGACTGCAGGCAAGATCAGATAAATTACACACATTTGTTTGTGCAATCACAGTTCACAACTCAACCTGCAAACAAACTGCCAGGAGGACACTCCAGTTAGGGTGAATCTTACTAAGAAATGTCTAGGTTGTATTTCACTCCAAAATACAATGAAACTTGTTTGTTTGTTTGTTTACTTATTTTAACTCCATGCTAGCTACCACTGCTATATTCACAGCGAGAAAAGAAAGAAAAAATAACGAAATATATAGACTTTTTTAACTTTATAAAATGTTTTAACAAAAAAAAAAAAGAAATGAAGTAATATAAAGAAATTAATTAAATTACTTTCAAACAAATTTCACTCAGAAATTACTAATAAATAATTACAAAGAAAGGGCAATTAAAACACTAAATTAAATGTGAAATGTTGACATAAAAAGGCTGAAATTGTATATTCTTGTAAAACGTACTCCAATAATCTTTGTTTTATTTACAACTTTGAAATCCCTAATTGAAATTATGAAGTGATGAGAGAGAAATGAAACTAGCAAAAAAGTCTGCCCGCAAAATGCTGAGACTGACCAATTAGAATGAAATTTAAGCTATAATAAAAATGTCTTATCCGACTGGTAGTACACACAACCTCGGTGGACATGAGAGCAGCCCAGCTTCTGTTGTGCAGTGTGTGTATGCAGCTGGAGGCAGGCTGTGCTGATGAAAGGAGTGGAGTGAGAAACTCAAGGGAACTCCGGCAGCAGGAGAGGATTAATTGGGCTTTGCTGCATCATTAAGCTCAGTTAGGTACAGTCACACCATCAGAGGCTCCATAACACAACCAGACGACGAGAGTGAAATTTGTAATGCACAATAGGAGAAGGGTTGCAGCTCTGCAGCCAGTTTTTTTAATAACAAATATGAAATACCGCTTACGGAAAAGAAAAACTGTCAAAAGTGTGAGAAATAGTCATATTTGAAAACTAGGTTTACTATAATTCGGCTGACACTCTGCCAGCACCGAGGACCTAATTACCATCAGGGCCTTGCCATCCGTTTTTTTTTTTTTTTGAGAGATGAAAAAACAGAGACGTATTTAATTAAAGCAGCTGGGAAAGCAGGAAACGACTGTCCATCATCGGGGAAATGGAACATAACAGTAATCAGTGAGGGGCTTGTGTAGTTAGTGTGCTTCAACTAATACAGAAGCTAATTTCAAGCTAGGTGTCGAACTTTCCAAAGCTAGTTTAATTTTAAATTGAAAGAGATGGGGTTTTATACAGTAAGTGCTGCATCTTTTTTGCAAGACTTTTTTGTCTCTTTTCCTCACCAAGGCAGCATTTATTTTATGAAAATTACAGTAAAAACAGCAATATCACAGAATAGTACTATAATTTTAAATAACTGTTTTGTATTTGAATATATTTTAAAATTTTATTTATTCCTGTGATGCAGATCTGATTTTTCAGCATCATTACTCCAGTCTTTAGTGTCACATGATCCTTCAGAAATCATTCTTATATGCTAATTTGCTACTCAAGAAACATTTATTATTATCAATGTTGAAAACAGTTGTGCTGCTTAATAATCTTGTGATTTTTTTTCATGGTTTGATGAATAGAAATAACAGCATTTATTTGAAACAGAAATCTTTTGTATCATTATAAATGTCTTTACTTATAAATGTCTTTACTATCTCTCATCAAAGATCAATATAATGCATCTTTGATGATTAAAAGTACTAATTTCTTTTACTTTTTAAAAGAAGGGTAGTATAATAGAGCCTGACCGATATGGGTTTTTTGGGGGGCCGATGCCGATACCGATATTAGGGAGTAAAAAAGACAGATATCAATATATCGGCCAATATTCTTTACGTGTAGGCTATATTATAGTACAGTATAGTCAAAAGTTTGGACACACTTCCCATTCGTGTGTCCAAACTTTTGACTGGTACTTTATATAGAATACAGTATATAGCCTATATAAACAGAATATAGATACATAAACACATTTTTTGCAATAACTCAAGTGTGGTGATCAAACACTTATAATGATGTGACAAACATAGGCCACTAAAGTTTATAAATTGCATTACTTTTTAATTCTTGCCAGTGTTTAACCATTCAGCGCTCATGCACACTCGCAGCGCACACACATAATGCCAGGTTCACATTACTCCACTTGCAGTGTGTATGTGGTGTGTATTTTTTTCAACGCTCATGTTAACGGATTAATA